GCTGAACCTGCTGATGCAGCACTATCACCGTCTCCTTCCCGGCATCAGGAGCTGCTCAGCTCCCAGGTGGATCTTAGGAGGGAAAGCAGGATGCAGTGATGTGGTGGCAGGGTCCTGCCGTACTGCTGAGCCTCACAGAGTCTGGCAGCCTGGCCACAGGGCTTCCCAGCAAACCAGACCCCACCAGGCGTTGGCAGCCTCATTCCCAACGTCCATGTTCTCACCCTGCACAGAAATTTTCAGGCTTGTCTGAAGGAAGTAAAAGATTTCTAAGCAGACCTGCTACCACCTCTCTGCTGACAGACACCGAGCCACCCCTTACAGCCAGGAACTCCACCACGACCGGTTTTCTCATGGCTCCTCCTGGGTTCTGCAACCCAGCCAAAACCCAGAGCTGCTCCCACCAAGAAATCCGCTCCCAAAGCACAGAGCTGGCACAACTGACCACCAAAAGGAATATCAAAATACAACTGAAAACTCCAACTTAAATTAGAAATTATCTCCTAGGCTGCTGACAAATAGATTTCCTACCACAATACTACAATGCCACATTCTACACTGTGCTGAATTTCTAAAGGAATAGCACTACAAAGCCTGCTGGAAACACAAGCTTCACCTCTAGTATCTTCTACAAAGAGGGTGTAGGGCTTTTCTACATCACTGCTAGCAGGGTCAGGCAGCTTCTCCCAGCAGCTTTTGTTTGGCTGGTTTTTAAATGGAGTGATGCAGGACAGCTCTCCATTTTTATATGCAACCCAATTAAGTGTTTTCTGCTCCTAATAAGTATCAGATTTTCAAGACAGGTCAAATTCAAATCCTCTGTTGTTTATATTCAGGGCTTAAAACCCCTGAAATAACAGGCATTAACCACCACTGCTGCAGCAACATCCACAGAGATGGCGAGGACTCCACGCCGTGAGCACAGTAAGCGACGGCCTGCTGAAGAACAAGACCAGGAGGGATGAAAGTAACAGAAAGACATGGAAAAATAATGAAGATGGGAAGACAGAACAAGACCCCAGCACGAGCTGCAGCTCCCAGCACAACCCAGGAGCAGCTGCTGGCATGTTGGGCAAGCGGAGGTTTCTGGGGAGGGACCAGAGGGTGAGCAGAGCACTCTCCGTGCAGGGAGCTGGAGAAGGTGGTGAGGTGCTGCTGCATAGAACTGCTGGGGGTAGGTGACCCTGCGAGAGGGACAGCAGGGCTGAGGTGTAGGTACTCCGAGGCCTCATTGAGCCCGTGCCTGGTACAGGGCAGCGTGACGGAGGCCAAGGGCGATGCCCTCTGAGAAGGGAGAGAAGCAAAAGGTAAGAGCGCATGGGAGGGGAGAGAGGCAAGGGCTTGTTTTGCTCCATACACCGACCTTGGGTCTATCCACTTCGGTGTGCATCCACAAAGCTCAAGTGGGTCTGCCCCGCAGCTCTGCCCCCGCCGTGCTGCTCTAACACGAACACAACCGGTCGGCTCTGGTGCAGCCAGGCTGCTGACTGATGGCAGGTCAGGAACGTGGACACATCCATTGCCAAGGCACAAACACAGGAGCGCTGCCGAGACTCAAAACGCACGGAAAAACAAGGTTGACTTGCACAGAAAACGAGTGGCTTGCACAGACGTATGTGAAAAACCAAATGCTTTAATCCATCTATCAAGAACAACAGTTCAAATTATTTCATTGGATACATTAATATTGATCCATAATTTACAGTGCTATGGACCATACACAAATTATTGCTGCAGTCAACAGCAGATGAATATCAACATTACAGTACCAAGCATCATAGCAAGAGGCAGTAATTAATGTCACTTTTTCAAGAAATATAGGTATTTATACTATTATCAACATTGGCTTCCCCCCCAGTGCATTTTATGTCAAACAACATAAATGTAAGTGCATTATTTTGTGCTTTGTGCTTTCCTTATGTACCTTCTTTTTGCTTTTACAGGTTGCAAGAGTTAAATATTGCTTCGTAGGCCAAAAGCAGTAAGGAAGAACTTCATGGTACTCTGCATGTTCCTGCTTGTTGCATGGCTTTGGCAAAGTGAGAACCCACAGGTATCCCCTCCACGCACCCCAAGAAGACGCTGCCAGCCCGGTGTCATGCAAGACACTGTCATCAGGCTGGGCAACATCTTCTGTCCATCTCACCTCACCTAGTTCATGCCAAACCCTGCCTCTAACTGCTGTCTCTGTCCTCTGCCACCGCTCCCCTGCAAAACAGCACAGCCACACGTTCCACGATGCGCAAACAGGCAAAGACATCTCCAGGTCACACCCGCCCGGAGGTCCGTGTCCCCTAGAGATGTCCCCACCGCAGCGTCAGCGTGCTTCCCTGCAAAGGGTGGGCCAACTCCGCAGAGGGCTGCAGCCTGGGGAAACATGGGGTGAGGAGTGAGCAGGGCACAGCCGAGCCCGGTCACCCCAGAGCAACACAGCGTACAGGGAACGCCCAACACCGCTGCTGGGGCCACAGTGAGCCTTATCAAGAAATCCAGCTCTTGATATAACTATCTCCTTGACTCCTAACTCCTCTCCACACGGCGTGTAGCCAAAAATCAGAAGTCATGGCTGTCAGCAAGTACCAGTGTTTCACTTAAGCCTGAAAAATATTTATATACCACAGCCTAGACTTCAATTTCCGAATGCCCAGCGTGGGCATCGAACCAAAAGCTTTATTCAGTATATTCAGTGGTTTTCAGTTTCTACGCTCAAGCGTGCACACCCTGATTTTGTACAACGCTGCAGAGCTGTCCCATATTAATGGGGAAGGGTAACGCACCCTGTGTTACAGCTACAAGCATTGCACAGCCCTGATTTGCTTTACCTGTCACCACTACCAAACGGCAGCACCAGAAGCCCCTGCCCACATACCTGACTCGGAGCTAACTCCGGCACAGCTGCCCTGCAGTCCATCCTGCAGGCTCCCGGGTCCTGCCGCGGGCCAGAGCTTCGCTACCCTAGGAAAGACACATTCCCAAAAGATGTCTGGGGTGGGGGGTGGGGGGGGAGAGGCATCATTATAATCTAAACTCCAGCTCCTCCTTCCAAAAATGAAAAAGAAAAAAAACAAAGCCACAACCTGGCGGTTGCGTCAACACTAACACGTAGCTCGCTGCTCAAGCGAAACGGAAATGGCTGGACGCAGCCAGCAACAGCCACGGAAAGAGCGACACGAACGTAGACACCCCCCCTCTGGTACCGTAACAGCAAGCCGCGTCCCCGCCGAGCCCCGAGCCGTCAGGAGCCATGCCAGGCAGGGGACACTTCAAGGACCCTTCCATGGGGAAATGTCTGGGTGGAGGCTACGGGAGCTCCCAACGCCGTCCCCAGCTGCCCCATCGCTACCCAATTCACATTTGGTTTCTAAGCACTAACTGCTGCGACCAAGGTTTCCTTATAAAGCCTGTCAAACTGGCACTCAAGTCACCAACCGTTCCACTTATCCTATGTAATTCCCAGTGCAGCACACAGAACGGGAAGCTCTTGTTTTCTATACGTAGGCACCATGCTACACCTCAACGTCCTATCGCACATCACCCTAAAGCTCTCTCCCATGCCACACTTCAGTCAGTGCTAGTCGAGGAAGACGACAACTAGAGTTTAAGGCACTTCATTCTGAACGAGATACGCCTGCCTGCTGCCTGCGAGTCAGCTGTAGGCTGCTGTGGAGAAATCCTTTCGATCCACCTAGCTCGGAACACCACGTCACCTCTGTCAAACACCTAGGCTGATATAATACAAGTATAACTACCGTTATTGCATAGGACTACACTTGAGTAGATAATGCACCAAACTACTTTTACAACATTGTTGCATGTTAAAAATGAATAACGTTGTTATCAAGTAACAGTTATCTGCAGATACAGTAATTTACTCTTTTTTTTGTTTGTTTGTTTCTTTTCTTATGTCAGCCCCAGTGCTGAAATAAAACACAAATTACTATAACGGGTATATTAACTACACAGTTATGTTTCCAAGCATATTACTACTTTTTTCTGTATCACTAAAAATAAATACGTAAGTTCCGTTTCTCTACAGAGCCGTTTCATTACCTAATCTAAATCTGTACTCTACCTTAAATGTGTTTAAAAACATTTTCAAAGTGAGACTGTAATATACAAAATATTCTCAAAATCTCTCTTAAAACACAGAACCCTGCATAAAAGCTTCCTTTCAAGTGTTTTACAAAGAACGCCGAAAACTTCCAATGAGTTTTAAAAATGTCAAAAAACTGTTGCAATATTGAGGCAAAAAAATCTTACAAAGGAAATACAAATATATTTAAAACAAAAAGTTGAGGATAACTAAGGAATCCATGCAAAGCAAAATAAACTGTACAACGCAATTAAAAAAAAAAATAAAGCCAATTAGATATGTACAACATAATGTGCCCAGCTGATAAAAACCCATCCATTTTTTGCTGTCCAAAGAGCATGTACCAGCTCGCAGTGCTCCCGCTTGGTGTACCGGTGGTAAGCCGTCAATGCGTGTCAGAAAACAAAAATCTAAGAGTACACCTCGAACTATGACCAAAAGGAAAACCCAAATCAGCTCAGAGTAAAACTGAAGAGCACTCTGAGAACGAGACTCGCATCGCCCTGCAATCTGCAGCAACAGCGTTTTATATCACAATCAACACGTCTTAACACCTCTTTTTGTTGTTTGTAGTCTGAGTGGAGCAGGGTGGGTGCTTCTCCCTAAACACCTGCCCTGTGAAGACCAACGTCTGAGGGACACTGTATCTTTAAGGCAGCACTCGTCAATTAATACAATTACAAATTGGACCTTGTTTCTTTTTTGGTTTCTTTACATTCTTTAACTTTACATTTTGTTTCCAAGTAAATAGGTGGCATTTACAATTCTACGATTCCCCCACCCCCACCCCCAGTAGAAACAGACTCTTCTTCTGTAATTCTATTGCTTTGAGTAGATTTGACCAGTTCAAAGTTCTTGGCGAATCCAGTTCACAGATACTGTACATATGCTGTACAATATTTTGGAGGCATTGGTAGTTTTTAAAATAGAATATACAAGTTTCTTCACAAAAATTCTAAAAAAAATCCTATATATATAATATATACACGCGCACACACTGGGCTACTGATGAAGCACAAGGGGAAAAAAGAAAATCAAAAAATTCTACAAAAGGTAAATTATTTAATCTACTGATCAAGAAACAAAGCAGTTTATGAAAGGTGTGCCAAGTAGATGCTAACAAGCGTGATCGGTGTCCTCCATGCTCACGCTGCTCCGCCTGCTACTCGTCTTGGATGCTCCAGGAGACACAGAGGAAAGTAGCGGGTCAGTTACTCCGACGGGGGAGAGGGTATCGTCCATCAGGATATCTTCCAGTTTGGATCCCATTTTTGCAGGAACACTGTAAGTGCCAGCTGGTTCAGTCACGTTTCCGAGGTTGTCACTGAAGGTGATGGTGCCGTCCGTGAGATCGAGGGTGGTAGTGCAAGACAGGTCTGTGTGGTGCGGCAGGAGGTCTTGGTTGCAGTTGTCCAGCACAGGCTCTTGTTTGATGACTCTGTTGACCATGTCAGGCGAGCAAAGGCCTGTAGATGGGACAAGGGACAGTCCGTGTGCCCGAGCTAGCATCTCGAGTTCCTGTGAAGAAGAAGGAGGGACACATTAAAAGAAATCTGAAAGCGAAATGCATCACGTTGCGCTCTCGCGTACTGCGACACCGTGTTTCCTTCCGTTGCTCACAACCTGGTTTCGCCCTTTCCAGCAGCGACAAGTGCTTGCACCTCCTACACTTCTGCCCTGCAGACTTTCACCTCAACATCAGCCTCTGGAAGAGGTGGGTGAACACAGAATCACAGAATGGTTTGGGTTGGAAAGGACCTTAAAGATCATCTAGTTCCACCCCCCCTGCCATGGGCAGGGACACCTTCCACTAGACCAGGTTGCTCAAAGCCACATCCAGCCTGGCCTTGAAGACATCCAGGGATGGGGCATCCACAACATCTCTGGGCAACCTGTTCCAGTGCCACATCACCCCACACAGCTTCTTCACACCTCTGCTCAGAGCCTAGATCAAACCCAGCGCCCCGCAGAACAGGCATTTTCCCCCCCAGGCACCTTCGCAAACCAGTGTCGCGGCGGGCAAGTTTGGCATCAGGTCAGGTGAGGGAAGCATTTGAAAGTTGAAAAAAAAATAAACAGAAAGGTACACCTAGTACTTTTAAAAAAGTCATATGTGAAGGTACTGGCTTTGGCCGGGGCAGAGTTAATCACCTTCACAGCAGCTGGGATGGGACTGTGGTTCGGATATCTGCTGGAAACAGTGCTGGTAGCACAGGGGTGTTTGTTACTGCTGAGCAGTGCTGACACAGGGTCAGGGCCTTTTCTGCTCCTCACCCCACCCCACCAGCGAGTGGGCTGAGGGGGCACACAGCTGGGACAGCTGATCCCAACAGACCAAAGCGACCATATGGTGTGATGCTCAGCATATAAAGCTGGGGAAGAAGGAGGAAGGGAGGGACATTTGGAGCGATGGCAGTTACCTTCCCAAGTCACCGGTATGTGTGATGGAGCCCTGCTCTCCTGGGGATGGCTGAACACCTGCCTGCCCGTGGGGAATGAATTCCTTGCGTGCACGACTTCTGCTCTACCTGTTAAACTGTCTTTATCTCAACCCACGAGTTTTCTCAGTTTTACTCTTCTGATTCTCTCCCCCGTCCCACAGGGGGGCAGTAAGCAAGTGGCTGTGTGGTGCTTAGCTGCTCGCTGGGGTTAAACCACGACAGAAGGCATAGCATGTGACTCAGCTACCATAGGAATGTCCTGCTGAGTCACTGGAAAGGACAGTTCTCATTCTACAAATCTGGTAGAGCTGGAAGTAAAAAGGTCAGCCAAAACTGAACCAGACTATTCCTGCACTGAAAAATTATACGCAAGCCGTAGAAAGGCTTTAGACTTCACACACAGGCAGGATTCTTTGAATCTTCATGAAGAGGTTAAATCCCACCTTCACATTTAATCACACAGACAACCTTGACAGAAGACAGAATAGAAGAATTCCTTTAAATGCCTTTTTTTTTTTAAATGCAGCACCACGAGAGATGTTTTGCTTCTACTTATGCATTATATTCGGCAATCACAATCACTGTTGTGATTGTCCTGTTCCTGGATATTCCCATCACTGAGGCTGATTAATAGTCTTTTTTCCACTTTCAAGCTAAGACAACAAGCTCGTAATGGCACACTGCAAGATGAATGGAGAAGGTGGAAGAAGGAATCACTTCTTAGTGTATCAAAATCAAGAGTTCCTTATGCTGTGCTTCATCAGAATCAACACAGAAAGGGAAAATACAGACTTGAGGTTATGTGCTGCCAGATGTATTGCCCATTATTCACGGGTCTGGTTTTTATGTTATTTTGATTGAGGTAGGAACCAGAGCAGATGGATAATGCAAAGGAAGATGAAAGATGCTTAAAAAGTGATCTGACTTAGCTTTGAAATACCACTGCTTGATGCTGCTCTGCAGAAAGGTCGTGCATCTTTACCGTCTCACTCCAGCAAACAGATTGCTCAACAAAGTACAAAAACTGCACTGAAGCTCATCCCAGCCTGTTCTATTTTAAAGCTGTTTACTGCCACACTTGACTCTCAGGTATTTCTAGCTTCATTATCTACTTCACCGTGCTCGGGTTCAGGAGTCTCCTGATGCAGCAGCCAGCCCGGCACACTGCAGCCTGCCCACAGAGTTCAGCTGTTTGCACTGCCTGTGAGAATATCTGGGACATCACTGTCCCCATGTGGTGTCCTTACACCCAATTTTACTTCAATAGAATATTTCTTTAATTATCCTTTTGTGGAGAAGGGTGGATATCCAGATATCTTTGCTCACCTGGAGAACAGAGTCAACAGCAAAAGCTGTGCAGGCTGCAAGGCTAAGGTTTCCTATCCAGCCTGAGGTGAAGGCAAAGCAATTAGGGAAACAGAGTTCTCACCCCTAAATTTCCCTGCAATACAGGCTAAAGGCAACCTCGGTGAATCTAACAAGGCCCATGGAGAAAATGTACTCATGCCATCTACTGCTTTTCAGTGCTGAGGAGAACTGTTTTGGACTACTACTTGGACTTGTGCAAAGCCTT